GTATGTTATATAAAGACAAGGAAAGTGCATATGCAGCTTATGCTGCGTTTGCAAATTAGAACCTCGCGGCCTGGCTTAAGTATGTGCTGTATTTACCGTGTGAACCGGTCATATTACGGATTCACAAGTCGGACTGTAATTCTGATGAATTGGTATGCTGAAACGACACGTTTCTGCTGATGCAGTAAATTCTTGTACTGTATCAAGATTTGTGGATGTCTACTACACCTCCCCCTTTTTGGAAAAATAACGCAATATAATAAGTTATTTTCAACCATAAACCGTATACGCATTTTCCTTACCTTTGTAAATAATATGTCTACATTTTTGTTTCTTGTGTATTCAAATTTTTAACAGTCTGGATTTATGGACTTTGAATCTGTCATTCTTTTCATTAATTATACAAGCATTAGAGTCATCCAGATTTTCTATTGTAGGTCCAGAAAATGTTGGGTCTAATTTATTTCTATTGTCTTGTTTTAAGTACACTGTATCGCCCCATTACTAATCGCCTGAATTTTCCAGCAAGTTATCCGCCATTCCGGCGTGCGATTGGACTTCTAGCGCCGACGTCTGAAGGAGTGTGATCCGCCAATCCGGCATACGATCCGTCCCTCTTGGATTCGGCGTAGGCATTACCCCGAGCGTCAAGGCAAAGGTGACATTCCCGCAATTCGAGCTTGCATCCGGCCGCATCGTGAGACACTACCCACATACAAACACAAAGTAAGTCGAAATAAAAGAACTAATTAAAAAGAGAGAAAGTGCTTTCAATTCCTTTATCGAACATTCTGTATATACCTACAGCCGACCCTGAAGGATCTTTTTTCATGCTCGAGCTAAAACCACCACAAAAGAGGTTGTTGTAGAACCCACCCTCAGTGATCCCCGTTGGCTAGACCAGGGATCGAGGGCCTAGCGATGTGGTCCGTCCAGGGGTTGAAACAGTTGACGTTTTTTACTACACTCGCTTCGTTGTCGTGCGCGACAGTCTGTTTGTATTCGAACACTCATGCTGTAAGTTATAGCTAGCTCAGCACTACTCTTATCTCGGGCCGACTGCCCACGTACTCCCAGCAGACTCGTCGGGGGACAAAGTGGACCTATCACCAGACAAACAATCACTTTGAACAGACTTGACATGCACCTAAGGCTCGAGTTTTAGAAATTATAAGACGCACACAAGTTCATTTAACAGTTTTTTTATTCATGGATACATGGGGTGGTAGGAGGGGAGGGGGGGTAATGGGAGGGGATAGAGGAAAAGGGAAACGTTGCGGCCGTTCAGCTCCGGTTGGGGCCCATGCGGTGGAGAGAGAGAGAGAGTTGCATTGTCGACATACCTTTGCTGAAGATGCTCACGGAAGGGGGAGAGGCACATCAGTACCACACACTGGAAAGCGGGGGCGAACCCTCCGGACCTTACCAGGCTGATACCTCCATAACGTCCGCTTCTCCGCTCCGCAGCCGTGTGTAGCCGACCGAAATAACTTGGGGCCTCGGCGACTACCTGCACCTGGGATGGGTATATTGTCCGGTGGTTGGGGTTCCTTCTTGGGTTCCTTGAGGGTTGATTCTTGGCGGTTCCTCGATGTACACCGGTTCCTATTTCCACAACCCACGTGGTTTGACAGCGGCGTTTCGTGGCAGCTCCTTGAAGCGGATCCTTCTCCCGGCTACGGTTTTTTTTCTTTTTTAGGCCTGATCCAGTAGTACGCCGTTCCTTCGAGATTCCCTGGACAAAACTTAACGGGATCTTCCTAATCCTGGAGCTTGGATAGGAAACGGCTTCTAATGATACCCACGGAATATGGCTGGTCCGTGATAAAAAGGTATCTCCAAACACTCACTCGCGAACTTTTTACGTGAACGCACTATCTACGATCCGTAGTATTTCGGATTAGAATCCGTAATCATAAACCGCGTGCAAGTACGGTATCACTGTATCACCTCTATTTAAGATGGCTCCAACTATATAAAAAACTCCATAAGTTGCCGCGACGAACTTATTACACGTCCGACTTCCGTGATGGTCCCGTACATTCTCCCTCATCGGTCATCTCCACTTTTCCTTCTCCTTCATCCACTCCTTTTCCAACTCTCTCTCTCACTTCTCTTTCTCCTCTCTTTCGCCGGTTGTCTTCCGGAAATGGGAAAACATACCCATTTCGCTCCATCAGGGATGTGAACGGTGCACGTGATTTGTGCACGGTGAGTCAGTTAGTTGTTTTTTTTGGTTATATTATTTTAGTGCGGAACTTTGCCGTCTTTTTTCTTATTTACATTATAATCATTGAACAAATGACGCAAGCGCGATTTATATTGGTTCAATGGTATTTTTTTAAATTTCTTTTAAACATCATATAGCTGCATGCAACGCTTTACATATATTAAGTATGGGGCTGGGTGACTATTTATATAGGTAATAAATTTTAGGTTAAACATAAATTAACAAATGTAGTTTTAAGATATAGTAAATAAAAAATTTATATAATGCTAAACACAGATATTTACGTATGAGTGAGCCTTCCTATAGCAATTAAATTTAATAAACTAGCCTCCTATAAATTTAATTATATTAAGGACAAAAGCTGTACAAAGCCAATCAGCTTCAAAGCCATTGTTCTCGGTGATTGACCGGTAACAATGCTCTACCGTCGTCTCTCTCACACAACACGAGCGGTAGAATAACATTCGAGCTAAAAGAAAATTATCAAAATAGCTATCATATGACATGTGTGATTTCGTTGTAATTCCTCAATTTGGTGTAAATCAAACCATTTCTGATCAGAAATATTATTACTAGGACATCATTGCTTGCTAATTCACACAAGTACACCATCAGCAGCTCTTATTATGAGAAAAACTAAAATAAATACATTCGTGACGGTCTTCGGCGACAGTGTCGTATGACAGAGCCTGTTATACGATATTTTAGTTTGGTACTGTACTATGATAGCTTGTTTTGCAAGTGTCGGAGGCAAAGGCAGTCAATTATCACAGAAAATGTGTCGACTACCGTGACCGCTTACAAGACTGGGTCCGTCTGACCGCTTTTAACAGTTCACTTATAGATCTAAATACGAGATGTAGGTTCTATAGTGGACTTAAGCGAAAGAAGCAGTTAATCAGGACCCCATTAGTACCCTTAATTCAAATAATGCTGCAACTCACACAAAAAAAAAACTACAGAAGTCATACCCATCATCCTCTACAGTCGGTCTCCAACAATGTTCACCACCGGTTCCAACTCTTTCCGGCCGCTGATAGACCGTTGCTTTTCACATCACGAAAGGCTAGGTTGCTGGTCTGTCTTTGAGGGCATTATAAAATCCTAAAACACAGGACTTTTATTATTCTAAGAACACAAAACACCAAAATTTCGCACACCCGGCACTTCCCACGTCATCCTCATTCCGATTTAAAACCAAAACATTCAAGGTGTCAGAAATACCAGGTTGCCGAGATGGGTATTTTAAAAACAATCGCAGCTTGCTTCAGCGCAGCTTCAAAAAAGATGACCCAAGATTGGTGTGCGGAGTAACCTACCCCTTGTTTGGTGGACATATTAAATACATAGGACCCAAGAGAAATTCTGAAATACACTAAGATAGATTTCCTAAGTATTCGAATGGTTTCTTAAGTTCTCAGAACACCTCTAGAGGTTCCTGCAGAACTTGGAACTTCTTTGAAGCTCTCGATATATTTTCTTAAACTTATGGGACAACACGTGGTCCAAACGATTAAAAACCTGATCGCGTGGAATTACTCCAAAACCTTTAATTTTAGGTACATAGTGTCTTTGGAGAAGTTTCTGGGTATGCAAAGTCCTAAAAGGGGTCCCACATCAAATTACATCACGGAAAAAACACTTTAAGAAAATTATGCGAACTTCAAAGACGTTCTTTAAACTTTAAGAAAAGTACTTCACACTTCAGGAAAATACTTCGATCTTCAAGGAAGTTTGGCAAACTTCAGGAAAATTCTTTGAACTTCTGGAAATCTCATTGACCTTCAGGGAAGTTCAATTACCTATAAACAAACTTCAAGAAGGTTTGTGAACTCTTGCTAAATTATATAAAGCTCTGAATGTAGCTCTGAAAACTCCAGGAAAGTTCTTCAAAAATAAAAATGCTTACTATTTTTGGATAGATAAAATGATACTAGTACTGATCGGATATCACAAAATTGACTGAATGTCATCAACACTCAGATGATACCACCAGACAAATACCTACACCGCATTAGGGACGACGGGTTAGCATCATAAAATTCAATACAGGACCAATCAATGAAGGCGATAAAACTACCCATAAATACCTAATATAATCAACACCTAGCGACTACGTTTATGACTTCTATTGACTAAAACTGCAAATTAGGACACTGACCAAAAATTCTATTAACCCGTTAAAGCCCATCCCTGCGCGCCCATCCACCCGGTCCGGCTCAAGTGCTGCGCCATCACGAAGCGCCAGGAAAACTATAAAATCCTCGAAAAAATGCCAACCCTCACCATTCGAATGCTCCTGGCTTCTTTTCCCCTGACCCACGCCCGCTGTTTTTCATCTGCTGTACAAAATCAATCAATTGCAAGGAGGGATTTAATTGCTTTATGGTAATTGGCCACGTTCTACCCACCACCCGCGCCATCTATTTTTTCTGTGTGTGCTTATTCCTAAAAAGCCCGAATGTTTTTATGACCGAAATTCTTCTACTGGTCCGCGACTGGAATTTTGACATAGCATAGGAGAACCCGGCTCGTGTACAAGATCGCCATCAGTCCCCGAATCCACCTGCAAATGTCGCGTCGTCTCGGTCGCCATGAAGAGGAGCTAGAACTCTCGAAAATGGCAATTATATAAAAACACTATCATCACCGGTGTCGCGGAATCAGTTATCAATCGGTAATCAAGCGAAGAGGGCGCATCCCGCGTACTGTAAGCAGGTAGTACCTCGGAGGTTCTTGGCGAGCACAGTTTAGTGACGCGTTTCGCGAGCGGAAGTTCAAGTTCAAGACGGGTGACGGTGCGGCAGTGTGCGAAGTTCAAAGTGATATGATCAACACCGGGCACTAGGCTGCTAGGTGCTGGGTGCTAATTGGCAGTGCGCGAAATTATAGATCGGCTGATTGATCAGAATTTGGATCAGACCAGGGTTCTATCAGTTATAGTGCGTCGGTTCTAGAAGAGAGACACAGATATTCTCTGCTGAAGAAACATGAAGTCGTGTTCGTCGGTGACGGTTCAGGCCGCATTTGCTGTGCTGTTGGTACTTGGAGGTGAGAATTGCTTGCGGTTGTGATCTAATGGGACTATCGAGTGCACTCGACGGAATTACTAAGTGGTGCAAAAACTAGCAAAATCAAATACTACGTGATGAATTCAAAGGCTGTTTGATTTGAGTGACCGCCTGTTATAGATAAAAAGTGTAGTGGTACAACATGTAGCAAGTGTAGTCAACAATCCACTTCATATGCCTCGTAAACTAATTCCATTAACTATTTACTACAGTTACTCACAGATGTGAATCGTCCATTTCGTGTGATGAATGATTGCAAAAAAAAAACAAACAAATATTATTTGATCTAGTTAAACCAAACCTTTGGTTCTATAAAGGAAGGTGGAGCAAAATTTCGAAATTATATCATCTTTATTGTTATTGTTATCTAGCAATATTTTTTTTTTCGGAAGTCGGACTTTGCCATATTGGATTCCAAGATGGCAATTCTGCTCCACTCCAATCAATCGATTGCAAATCAGATCCTGATCCCTCTCGCAAAATTTGAGTTCATTTGGATTCGACCTCGGACTGCACTAGTCCTTTGAAGTTTATATAGGAATTGTTTTTTTCGTCAATCTTGTTTTCCGTACTGAGTACCAATGCTACCGATGCCAGGAAGGCAGCTCCCACACCTGTACCCTACCACCTATCGACCCATCAATCAACTCATGGACCGGGGACCCAATGGCTTTACTTCCCTTCCCGAGGAAGGCGTGATCACGGATTTTATGTCTCAGAAAATCCCGACGGCGCCGATTGGGGTTGAAACCAGGCCCTTTGGGGTGAGAAGCAATCACGCTTACCACTACACCACTGGCGCCGCTGAGAATTACTTTGCGAAAAGTGAATTCTCACGTAACATTTGAAAATGGCCTATCCTCGTTAATCGATTATCTTCATCGACTTTCTCTTTGGTTTACCACGGCAACATAAAAAAAATATTTCTAAGCTCGCAGCACAGTTTGATGAAGATGATTGGTTGGAAATGCTAACATGAAGCTTTAGTGTGATAATTTATTAGCTAGAGAATGATCTTTAGAAGAGGGTAGGTGGATAGTTCCGTTAGAGTACGGCAGTATGAAAATTGAATAGAAGTTGAAAATAAGCGAAGGGCCATTAATGCGACAGTTTTTAAAGATAGACGCACACCTTTTGCCTAACCCGTACGATGTACGCGGGGACTTGAAGTATGTCTCCAAGTCTACAGGCAAAAAATGTGCGTTCCTCTTTTGCTCATAAACTGACTGCGGCTGTGGAATAGTTCTAGCGACGTTTTCATCTCTACCTAAAGCCCCACGTTGCGAGAGCATTTCCAGTCGATGGTGTGTTATAATGCAATTCGACAGTGAGCATTCATAAGGGCGAATACGCGATGATCGATTCTCTTTATCGATTTTCTCTTTGCATTGCTACAGCTAAGCGAAACAATTTTCAAGAATTTGTTCAATGCAGAGTAGTAACAGGTTGTATTGGCTATCAAAAGCAACAGCAAACGCACCGAGAAACGTTAAATCTAGCGAGTTATTAACAAAAGAGAAAATCGACGAAGAGAATCAATCATCGCGTATAGGCCCTTATGCATGCTCACTGTCGAATTCTTCTTTTCCCAACTATTGTGTTGCTCCTCTCGTCATGACCAACTTGGTCATCTCAGAGAGAAGGCATTAGGATGGTTGTTGCGTTGAAGATGATGTTTAGCTTGCGCCTGAAGCAATATACTCAATGGGAAATTCATTTGCGGTTGGATGATTCGTGAAACAGAAAATCGATGAAGAGAATCGATCAACAATGATAGGCCTCGTGTTGCGTGAGAATTTATTGTTTGCATCGTTCTAGCCCTTCACCAAAATAAAATTCGGATTGGTTTGCTATCTGTTATTATGTGAAATTTTACCATCTGCACTGATGAATTAAACTATTCTCATTTTGCTTAAAATTTAATCAATTTATCATTCAATCATATCGAATGATTAAAAATTAATTATCTCTTGCTAAAAACTAATCATCTGATATTAAACCCACTTTAATCATTGTATTGGTTAAATTGAAAGTTATCTTGTTTGAATAAATTTGATTGGTTTTTGATTCTATTTAATAATTTTTAATTGAATTTTATTGTTTTTCGAAAATATATTCATATTCTAAAATAATAAATGTTAATACTGAAAAGGTTAAAGATTTTATCACAAGTGATTAATTACAATTTAATCATGCATGACTACTGCCGAAGTAATCATGGCTCGGACTCAATAAGGTGAAGCGGGAACTTGCATACTTTTTAAGCTTTTTTTTAATTTCATTTATTTTTGAGTGTACAACTTTGCTGAGGATCACTGAAGATCACTGCTGATGCTGAAGATATGATTAATCGACTGCATTAAGGGCAACACTGCGTCTTGCACTACACTGAGGCAAATAATTAACGGTCTACACTGATTGACCACAAATACATAAATGAACCCTTGATATTTTTCACGGATGCCCTTGGAACTTTCATTAGAATTCACTTGGAATTATCTTTCTAATCCCCTCAGTATTCAATACTCTCGGAATTTCTTTAAAGTCATCACTCTCAAAAGAACTCTCTTTACATTCTTCTCGGATTTTATTAATAATAGTCATTAGAAATTAACCTGTAATCCTGTTAACAATTATCATGTAATTTCACATAAGAACTCTCTTTACATTTTTCTCGGAATCTATTTAGAATATTCCTCAGAAATTGTCATAAGCAATTGACTTCGCGTTGTAGTCAAAAATCTATAAAAATACTTCCAAAAACTCCATTGGGATTTGTATCTCACATACCTTATTCATTCGATAATTTCCTCTAAATTTCTTTAGAATTTTCATCAAAATTATCGAATAAGTTCTTCAAAGTGATTGTATCCGGAAAACCTAGTAGTTGAGAAGATTATTATTTTCCAAAGAGAGGACGAAGTATATTTTTCCCGCATCATCATCGAAATTCATGAACTTCTCCCGGTGATTTAGAATTTCCGGCTTTTTCCCGATTTCCTGGTTCACTGGTCACCCTGTGTCCAGTATACAATAAGTCTTATCCATCTGAATAACATAACTAGAGATAGCAATCTCCTATCTAGTCGAAACACAGAAAACGGAACTAGCTCAGAGAGTGAGCAACTTTTGCTCATTCGTAAGGATACATTTCTAAAAGCGTTGGTCACTCATCGCATGAGTAACCTACGTAAAAGTGACTCACTCTCTGAATAAGATTTGTTTTGAATCAAATGTTACTATCGCTGCATGGTGACTGAATTCTAACTAAAAGTCCAATCATGCGATATGCATTGTCCATCCGAATAACTTCACTGAATACAGAAAACTGCTTTCTGGCTGTGCTGTTAAGTTAAAACATAGAATTTGATGCAAATTACACACTGAGCATGACTTTCCAATATTCAATTTCTAACCGAGATGTCACTTTTAACCACGAGTTAAATTTGACTCGACAAATGGTTCACAGCCTAAATTATGTTGAACACCCTTCCGTTTTCCGCGTTTTGCCCGCTTCTCTGTCTGTATACTCACGTTATTTTACAACTACCCAGAAATGGGTAAAACTCTATCCATAAAGAAGGTATTTGCACGGAGATGAAAAACTACCCAAAATTAAATATTTTCCCTCATTTCCGGAGTTCAGCTCAATAACCGAAATTTGAGTAAATCGCATATATAATTTTCAATTTAACACCAGCAAAAAAAATACCCACTCTGCTACCCAATAGGGTAGAGCACTACTTCGGCCTAATCGCCCATTTTGGGCCTATCGAGCAGAAAACTTCAAATAAATCCATGATGTCAGAGTTAACAAGTCAATTATGCATTTGGTACGATACTTCAGTTAATAAGCTACGGAACGAAGTCAATTAGAACGCGTGATATAAAGGTTTGCACCCATTATTCTCAAAAACAAAAGAAGTGCTCCGACCGAATCAATTGTTATCTTCATCCGATAGGCCGAAGTGAATTCATTGGCGTTTCAATGGCGTTTCAATGCGTTAGGTCGAGTTTAGAATCCGTAGGCCGAGTTTGGCCTCAAGAAGCAGTGTTAGACTTTTGACAATATCTCAACAATTGGTTTCTCTTTATCAAATCTTCTGGTACATACGGAAAGGTAAATAAATTTGAAAGCCATCAGTAATAATAACATTCCGTTTGGTGCTAAACTGCGCTAGATTAAGATAGATTAAATGCGGGTTGTGCTTAATAGGCCGGAAATGGGGTAGTTAACCCTATTAAGTTTAATTCACGTAAATTTGAGAACATGCAATTTACTCAGAAGTAACTTATTGGGCTGAACTAAAGAGCCTAAATTTATAAAGAGGCGACATGTCAAAATTGGAACAATCGATTGTCTGTCAAAGTCATATGAAAAGTCATTCCAATCGAGCAGAAGACCTGTCAAATGGATAAGATGTCGTCTCTTTATAAATTCAGGCTCTTTAGGCTGAACTATATCGTTGGGTCGAATCTCTCGTTCCTTTTTTGACAACTATAACAAGTGCAAGTGAGAGACTGAAGTCGATATTAAGTAAAAAGAACTCAAATTTTGAGTTGTATTTTTTCTCCGTGTGGACATTAAAGCAAATTTTCAATTTGAAAACTTGCGCTCTTAAAACTTCAAGTTAAAATCAAAACATTTACTTTTGAATTGAAAATTACCTTTTGCATTAAATATTTTCGTAGTTAGAATAATTATGTTGGGGCTTATTTTAAATTGGAAGGACGTCAATAGAGATGTGTGCATCGGCGGGTGCATCGCCGTATATAGTTGTTTATTATTTTCCTCTGGCTAACATAAAAATGTATGAAATTAGATCTGTCAAAATGAGTTTGACAGCGATTTGTTATGTATTTTCCTCGGATTTTCACTAACACGCCCTCACATAGTGAGCATCCCGTGCACCAGCTTTGACTTCTGGCCGTTCGGAACAAATTGGTTAGCTGTAGGATCAATATCATAATGATATTGAA